CCCTGCCTCCGCAGGCGCTGCCCCTCTCTCCCCCCATCGCCCACTCCCCTGGCCCCCGGAGCTGTCTCAGTGCCCGGAGCACCCTCAGGACAGTGGGGTGCAGCTCAGCCCCCCCCCCCCCCGGCCCCGGGGCCGGACCGGGGGGAGCCCTGGGGAGGGGGAGCGAGGGGCCAGGGCCGAGCTGGGAAAGGGGTGGATGGAGGAAACCGCTCCTGCTTTTGCCTGCAGCACGCTGTTATTGTAGGGTTGTGTGAGCACCAGGTTGTGTACCCAGAGGTGTTATTGTAGGTTTGGAAGAGAAATGGGTTCTTTACCCACGGTGGTGGTAGTAGAGGGTTGTGAGAGGAGGCGGTTGTACCCCCTGAGCTGCTGTTGTGGGGTTGTGTGAGCGCCGTGCTGTATATGTGACCTGTTTGTTATTGTAGGGTTGTGTGAGCACCAGGTTGTGTACCCAGAGGTGTTATTGTAGGGTTGTATACTGTGCAGTATACGTGTGCAGTATATGTGACCCATTTGTTATTGTAGGGTTGTGTGAGCATTGTGCTGTGTATGTGACTGATTTGTTATTGTAGGGTTGTGCCAGCACCACATTGTGTACCCTGAGCTGTTGTTGTGGGGTTGTATACTGTGCAGTATACGTGATGCGTTTGTTATTGTAGGGTTGTGTGAGCACCAGGTTGTGTACTCTGAGCTGTTATTGTAGGGTTGTGTGAGCACCAGGTTGTGTACCCAGAGGTGTTATTGTAGGGTTGCACGAGGACCGGGTTGTATACCCTGAGCTGTTACTGTATGGTTCTATACCATGCAGTATACGTGTGCAGTATACATCACCCATTTGTCATCATAGGGTTGCGTGAGCACCAGGTTGTGTACCCCGAGCCCTTGTTTCGGGGTTGCCCTGTGCTGTGCCCCCCCAGCGGGGCAGCCCCTGGGAGCACCCACCCGAGGGCAGGGCTGAGCCCAGCGGGGTGCGGGGGTCCGGCGCTGGCAGGATCCGGCCTCGCTTCCAGCCGTTCCCCCGCGGCCCCCCCAAAGTCTTCGCCACTGCCACCCCGCCGGCAGCTTGGCATGCATTTTGGGGTGCGTGACGGTCCCCGTCCCCCGCTCAGCTCGGGGTGCCCCGCGGGGCGATGGGGGGTGACGCAGGCTTTGCCGGGTTTGCCCCGAAAGCGCTCGGGGTGCAGCAGCGTTCTCCCCCAGGGAACGGTGTGTGTGGGGGGGGATTTTGGGGGTGGGTGCTGGGCTGCAGCACCCACAGGGCTCCCCCACCCTCAGCAACTGCTGCCCCGCTGCGCCTCGGCCCCCAAACCTCGCTGAGATCCCGCGGAGCGTGGGG